TCTTTTACAGGAAGCCTCGTCGTGGTCGTGGTGCCGCATCTGCAGCAACTGGAGGTGGTACTCGACCGAATGGCTACCATTCGTCGGGTGGTACTCGTGGGCGAGGAGTTGGTAGGCCGCCATTGCGAACTGTAACACCTGCACCTCCTCCGCCGCCACCCAAATTCGTCCTACACGATGTGATATGTCCGCATACGACAGCGTATTTAGGTGGGTTTTGTTTTTAAATGGCTCTGTTATTTCGTTTCAGTAGAATAGTTTTTTCTTCTGCATATATTAGGTTGTCCCAAAAGTTCGTTGCATTATTAAGGCTCGCGCCAGAACTTCCTTTACCTTCTAAATTCTAATTATGTTTACGTAGGTTGTGGAGAGGGCATCAATCATAGTAGTTCATAACAGAACCACGCTCACCCTTGTTGGCTTTCACGAGTTCAGAAGGAGAAAAGAAGAAAGTCATGTTTGTCAGGCATTTCTCACTATGTTCCACTGAACCACAGTGCGGTCGAAGCCAGCCGCAACTTTTTCTCTGTGATACATGTTTCTGCTGTCGTCTATCGTGCGGTATCAGAACGGTCAAATTTCCTTCGCTAAGGGACCATAGCTTTGAAAAATGCCCTGCTTGGAAGAGCCATTGTTGTCGGATAGCGCTAGCTGCTCTTTACCATCCAATCCAACCTGCGCGAGGTAACTTGCCAATGGCCAACAGGGGATTTCCTTCTGTATGATCTGTTTTTTTTGTTTCCAACTCGATCCGTATGCGCTGGCTGAAAAACCCGCTAGTGTAGATGAGAAGCGACAGTTTCGTGAAAACCACATACGGAAACCCCAGCGGCTGGATCGAGCAGAATTAGGTTGAAATTTATAAATTCACCACATTGTCATGCTCCGAGTCTGCAGGAGCGTTCTCTAGTCAACCTTGAAACCTCTCCCTCACTGTAGCTATGAAGCCAAACAAGTGTCTTGTGATCAACGGCAGAATCCATAGCGAAGCTCCAACAACTATTCCTAGAACTCAAAAAATGTCTGCTCCACAACAGCCGAGATCGCACTGGATGGTGGCGCAACTCTAGATTATTTTTAGGCTTACTTCAGAACTCCTGCTATATCCACCGTACTGCGCTGACTAGCCTCCCTTGAACTATGATCTATTCTTCTTGTCAGCAGTCACCTACAAAAATTACATTTTCATGGGCACCTCAAAATCGACTCAACTGAATTTTTCGTCCGAAACCGCCAACCTGTGGGAGAAAGACAGCTTCTCTTTGGCTGCTCGTTGGCAATAAGACACTGATAGTGATAGTGCATACGCTGATCATAGGTAGTAGTTGTGATAGAAATAAAGTCGGTCCGGAAAACTCGAAATACGCACGAACTTTTGAGACAGTCTACTATTTTTACTAATTCGATTTTAATATATATATTTTTACTATTTTCTTTTGTTATGAAATTATACCTTCCGCTATAGGATACTGAGCTGATTTTTCCACTATGTTTGTATGTTTGTCCAGCGACCTGACTGATGTATGTGGAGGCAGGGACAAAAGTTCACGTGTTGGCACTGAATACTAAACAAAGTTTCGTAATATTTGGCCTGCCGAACCTTTTCTTGAAGGACCAATCGCAAATATCGAAGCATTAATTCATTTTGGGTAGGTTGTCGACTTCCCTAGGTTGAGCTTGTTATAGCTAGTCATTCTTCCTCTCTTATAAGGCCAATTAGGACTAGGATTTTCACGCGGAAACTTGTTTTTCTTAAACACTGAGAGCTTGTTCTTCAAAAGAAATTCGTTTGATCGAAAGCGGTCTAGTGTCAAGTGCGCTTCTTAGAGTTCACATGGTTTCTCGTTAAACTAGCTGCTGGATGATATTTTACACGGTGTGAATTGTGACACTTGTCCGTTCTTTTTGTATTTCTGAAACGAGTCCTTTTGAGAAGTTGGGGCGCACCGAAAAAGCACACCCCTTTACTTGACTTCTGAGCGATCCCGTTATTTCTTAACACTTATATGATTATTTTCCGAACAAACCGTTCGCTCGGAAAATTGTGACGTTGAAAGGTAAAGGGATACTCACTTTCTGTATTTTTTTTACCTTCTTCAGGCACTCCCCAGCTATATCCTTATTGACCAAATGATTTATGAATTCCAGGCGGAAAGGTCGGAGGGAGACAGACTTTTTGAAGGGGTGCTTGCGTTCATTGTTCACTTTTTTGTGCCTTCCTCTTTTCATTTGTTAGAAATCTCCTGAGTCTCACGAATGGTTCTGTTTAGATTTTCATGATGATAAGGTCGGGATGCGGATGAAGCGTGTGCTTTTCCCTTTCTCAAATCTATATCAGATGTAAAGTGCAATTCTTTTTGAAAAGTGCAACTTTTGCTTGAAAAAACGATTTAGATATCGTTAGAGCGCGAAACAGTGCCCTTGGTCACTATTGACTCACTTTATTCTTGGGATGAAATGAGGGACCCAGATCTGATGTTTTTCTATTCATCTGAGAATTGAGTCGAAAATTCTTTGTATTCAAAATGAATTCAAAATGTTTGGTGCTTGCGAATTATTGTCTCGCTTATAACCAAATTTCAAATATCTCTTATTGGGTCATTATTGATCACATACTTGCACGTTCGTCGATTTCAGGTGCACTCAGCCTTCCCAAATTTGCGTCGGTTCAACCCGAAGGCGAAATAAAGGAGGAAGAAATAGCCGACTGTGATGAGGAGAAGCCATCTACTTCGAAAGGTGATGGTATTAAAGAAGAAGTCTCAGACGAAAGAAGCGATTCTGGATCGGGCTCGAGCGTGATTCTGCTCGAAAACGGAGAATGTGATGTGAGTGACGGCCCGTTTCATCCCAATAGTTATTTATATTGCAATTTTTTCTTATTTTTATCTATGTTTTGAATTTGTGGATTGCATGATAAACATTTTGCGTTTGCAGAGTACAAAGGAAAAAACGGGTGATGAAAATAAAGAGAATGGTGCGACAACCTCAAGAGATAGTTCAGAGGTGTCAAAAGAAGAGTCAACCGAGGATGTGAGTCTTTTCTTTTTTTGCTTGCATGTACTTTTCGGTATGCATATTACGCACCGTTCTTCAGAAAGATCCCTTATTTGTTCCTTGATTTCCTGTGGTTTTGTGGTAACTATTCAATCAGATTATATGACTGTGATTATAGGGACTTGATGAGAAAACCTATTAATTTAGTTGGCATTTGACGATTATTGTAATGGGCATACTGGGAATTTCTGGGAGAATAGAGTCAGAAATCGACGTTTTTTGAGAAAAAAAGGAAGAAATGGCCTGCTACAATAGGTTGAGGAGGGGGAAGGGGGAGTAGGGAACAGCTGGCTCTGTAGGAAACTGCCATGAGTTCCATTGGAGTAATACCTTTGTGAAGATCCGATTAAACCTACTCACCGTTGACCGAAATTAGCCACTCCCGTGGAAGTCCCTACCAGTGGATACGTAGCGATGACTAATGACACTTTGCGAACCGCCGAACTCTGTTCATCCTATATTTTTTAATGCTTTTTTCAACATTAATCGTTAATTTGGCGACTGTCGCCAATAACATCATATTTGCTGTTTTTTTTCGGCTCTGAAAGTGCATATAGACAGTATTGAACGCAAAAATGCCATAAAGTGAATCATGCAAAAATATCCTCTGTTGTGGGGGACGCAACGCGGAAAGCCCTGTTTTACGACCATCCGATTAAAGCGAGTTCATGGGCATGGGAATTAGACGCGTCCGAGGAGGGG